GGGTCCTCAAATTAGGACACCTCGGCTATGTTAAATTTTTAAAACGATCCTATTTCTTCATTTGAGTAAATTATCTCTTATAGTTTAGGAGATATTCGCATTTGAAAATTAAAATTTTAAAATTTTTACCGTCCTTACTTCAGTTTTTTGATAATAGCGGGTCCTAATATTCCCGATTTTCGCCATTTTTTTTTATTCGCTTAACAACAAGTTTATATATCAAGCAGTGAAATAATTATGTAAAAATCATGACTGAGTCCAAAGTTATAGGCATTTTAATTTAAAAAATTAAAAAAGGCGATTTTTTGTCATTTTTTTGGGAAAAAAGTATCTTTTTCTTTTTAAGTTATCTAAAAAGTTTCTAAGAAGATGTTCATAGAATTTATACTTTTTGGAAAGCTGACTTTACATAAAATACGATAAATGAAACAAAACCTAAAAATAAATAAATAAAAATACCGAGGGGACCAGGTCCATCCAAAAAACCCTATTTTTTATGGAAAATTCAATTTTGAGCAAAAATTCTCAAATCGCATAGTCGATATCAAATTATAGTGACCTGTTTTATATGACCCAATATGTTCTTAATCATTTTGTAACGGGTTTCGACAACCCCGCCCCTGGTATGGATATAATAGGCAAAAAACCAAAAAATCCCATTTTTGGGATTTTTTAAAACTTTTTTGGGAATTCCGGGATTTCTAATAAGAAAATTCGAAATTTTTATTTAATTTTGGATTTTGAGTAAAAAAATCTACCTAACTGTAAAATTTCATCAAAAAATATTCATAAATAAAATTTTTATTGCAATTTGAAAAATTTGTATCTTCGCAAAACTGAATAAAAAACATTTTTTAATTTTTTTTTAAAAAAGTATTCCGCGAATTTAATTTTCAAAAATTATATACAGTTTTGAAAAATAGACAAAACTACCTTTCCATTGATATATATATGATATATGCCTACCTAATGTTTTTTAAGTGACAAATTAATTAGGGAAAACTCAACATCTTTTAGAAAATTTACCTAGCACTATTATTTTCATCCATATATGTAACAAATTTAAGAGTTAACCGAAAATCGGGAATATTTGGACCCGCTATTATCAAAAAACTAAAGTAAGGACGGTAAAAATTTTAAAATTTTAATTTTCAAATGCGAATATCTCCTAAACTATAAGAGATAATTTACTGCTACGACGACATTATATTTTTTATAGTGCTCGATGAGGAGATTCTATATACGAAATTAACATAGCCGAGGTATCCTAATTTGAGGACCCCCCGCCGGGCCCCTGGTTGGCCTATAAGGTCCAAATTCAAAACCTAAACTCGACAACACCTCCTCTTTGTGCATACCAAATTTCATCAAAATCGGATTAACCGTTTAGAAGTTATCGAATTATTTCCCTCTTTTTTTTCCTATACCACTGTGTGCTGTCGCTCATCTCGATCTCAATTTTTAACGAAATTTTTAGAATTTGGGTCGGATTTTTGCTCATATTTTAAATATAGAAGATTTGCAGATTTTAAATAGAGTTCGTCCCGAAAGCATATCTCGGATCATCTGACAACTGATTTCAACATATACACAGACAGACGGACGGACATGGCTCCGCTATCTATAATGACTGTCAATATTATTTATAGGTTAGGAAAATTATATTTAATAAATTACAAACGGAATGACAAACTTATATATACCCTTCTCACGCCCCCTGAGTTATTGCAATCCCAGTACCTTTAGACAGCAGGGACTATAAACTAATAATGATCAAATGAATCCTTGGTTATTCCTTTTATTGATTTGATATGAAGTTGAACCAAAGAACCATATAATCTAGTACTACGGAAACCGGTAGCCCGCTGTGCAGAGAAACGGACTTTATCTTATACCGGGAAAGAGAATATCGGTTAAAAAACTGATGCACGGTAAAGTCTATAATTTGGTGCTGTTGCCGAATGACAACAGATACCCCACAGAGGAGTGACTGTGGGACTAACCCCCATTATCTCGATGTCTAGTTATATTTTATCGTAAGGTTAAATTGACAGTTTTCATACAAAAATTATTTTAACCGGCAGAATATCTAACGGTTAAACGATAACCGGAGTTGGTGTTAAAGGGAGTATGAGTTGGTGTTAAATGATACTGGATGAATGTAGGGTAGTATATGGAACTTATCCGTCCGTATACCTAGAGTGAGTCTGTCGTATGTTGTTATCTTATGAGCGTGTCGGATAAATGAGAAGTGTGCATGTCCAGATATGTTGAAAGCAAACTCTGTTCATGCCAGATTTACCACAGTGTGTCTGTCCTCTGTGAGTAGGAACAAAGTCTCGGCTTATTTGATGAATTCGTACTTCCGTCCACCGGTTACGTCTCTAGGTGCTGTTGACATCCCATTTGCCACACATAATCTGGTATCACGGGAACCGATAGCCCGCAGGGCAGAGTTTCGGACTTTGTCGATTAAAAGACTGATAGGTGTTGGAGGAAGTGCCAGTCTATAATTCGGGATAAGTCGGTGCTGTTGCGAGACAACAGATACCCCACAGAGTAGTGGCTGTGGGACTAAGCGTTGGAAATGAGTTGCTGTTAAGTGGATATGATACGAAATGAATATAGGTTTAGGCGGACCTTATCCTCTTGTATATTGTTCTCTATGAGTGTGTCGAATGAATGAGAAGTATGCTGGGTTGAACGGTGATGGATGAAGTATATCTTATGTAAGTGATACCATTGAATTTTCCTTCCTTGTCGGATTATGTTGATGGTTTACTCTGTTCATAGCAGATTTATTACAGTGTGTTCTCTGTAAGTAAGTAAACGTCTTTGGCTTATTTGATGGATTGGTGTATCGCTCCATCTGCCTGGATGTAAAAGGAAATGAGGTTTTTGTATCTCGGAAGCAGTGATGCCAGGAGATTTTTTTCAGAAATCCCTACGCTTATGAGAAAAAATCCCTTTTTTCCCTACACCCACTTTTTATTTTCCCTACATTTTTCCCTACACTACTTTTTTCCATTTTTTTCAAAGTTTATCTTAAAAAAATACAAAAATAACATCAAAAACTAAAATATTAGCTCCGTTTTATAATATACATATATGTATGTATTTTTTTTTAATTTTTAGGAATGAAATTTCTAGAATTTAAATTTTTTTTCTTTCAATTTTACATCATACAAATCTTCCAACCCTGACTCTTCAGTTAAGATTAAAAAAAAACAATTGAAAGATTTATGGCAGTATATCGAATCGTGATAAAAATTTATTTTATGTGCCTCCAACAAAAAAATTTTCATAAAATAATTATTTTAAATAAGGTTTACTTTTGCGTTTACTTTTTGCGGTTTACTTTTATAAATTTTCAGAAATTTTCATTAAATTCATTTTTTCAATCCTGAGTTACTGCATTAAGCCCCCGACTACTCTATCTATAAGGAGTCAGAATATATCGCCCTACAGGATTGGCATAATCCAAAAAGTCGTTTCAAGAAAAATGGATATGAATATTTAATGACATTTAACTATTTTTTTAATAACTTTTAAACAAATCAAGGGGTTTTAAAAATCCAGATTCAGATAGTTGAGGTTAATATGTTTCTCATCTAAATTGAAATTAAATTTTTAGTTGTCTAATATTCACAAAAACGTGGGTTTTAGTTTTTACGTTTACAAAAAATCGATTTCACATCGAAAATAATAGACATATTTGAAATTTGATAAATCTATATGAAAGATTTTAGTATGTCGCATGTTTTGAAGACCTTAGTTCAAGAAAGCCGAATTTTGGATTATGCCAGTCTTGTAGCGATATGTAGGTACATATATTGTAGAAATTACAAGCGGAATTTTTACTAACGATACACTTAAAACTGATTTCATTTTTAATTTAAAAGTTTAATACATGAAAGAGTATATTTTTAGTTGTTAAAAACTATGAAATTGAAAAATCCCTACAATTTGACAATAGTAAGAAATCTTTCCCTTTTTCCCTACACGTGAAATTTTTGAAAAAAATCCCTACAAAAAGGGAAAAATCCCTACACTTGGCATCACTGCTCGGAAGTTAAGCAACCGGCAGCAAAATGGTCAGAGATTAGATAGCTCGAATACTTGAGCAAAGTGCTTGTATATGAAACGGCAGAACCATGAACAATTATTGCTAACGGCATGTAAGAAACACAAAGGGGCGGTTGTAAGTCGTCTAATCAGCTCACCCTGTGGTTGAAAAGGTACCACCATGGATTAAAGCCAACACGGCAGGTGTTCACGGTATGCACTTGGACTTCTACTACCCTTCGTGAGAATAAACTACAATCTGTAAATGTAGAACATTTATAGAATCCTCAAATTTTGCATGAACAACTTTGACATCCCTTAATGTTTAGTTGATAAACAATAAGGGGCGTGGCAATTCCCATGTGAATGCAAAAATGTGTATATTGAAATTAAAAAATTTGAATATTTGGAAAAATTGGGTGAACAATGCATATCCCATATGACTTCAAATTTTTAATTTTTCAATATTTCACTATTTTTTAATTGGAAAACCACCACAAAATCTGCAGTTATTTTAAATTTATCATAGAAATATAGTTTACGGATGAAAAATATATGAGATCACATTTCTCTATTGTTGATAGAACATTGGAGTGATCAAAAATTTTAGCTATTTTCGGCATTTAACTGCTATAAAGCGATAACATGTTCTTAAAAAAATTTAAATTTTGCACAAATTTTGTATCACCCTTTAACACATTTTCAGATCAATCAAATTTTATTTAAAATGTACTTAATAATTTAAATACCCCGTAACTCGAAGCAAATATAAAAATGTGTAATTTTAATTTGTTTATAAAATTCCAAAATATTTATGATTTATCACTTTCTTCTACCCCTTTATTAAAAAAAACACTTTTAAATTAATTTGTTTTTAAACAAATTGTTGTTTATTTTGAAAACAATTAATTTCCAATTGAGAACATTTAAAAATTTTGCAACTAAAACTAGGTAAATCAAGATAAATAATTAAATAATTTTACAAAAAAAAAAAAAAAGGGAACAAATTTTGAAAAATAAAAGAAAACAAAACACACTAAGAACACAAAAAAGGCGGCACTCAACGATGCTAATCAACCGCAACCTTTTTGTTAAGGCTCACACGGAAGCGTTTAAGCTAGAAATTAAAAGTTATAGGCCAAATTGCCACTTTGGAATTTGACATGCGACACTTGATCGGCGGCAGAGTATTGCAAACCATTGCGAGGAGCAGTGGTGGAGGAAGTGGCAGGTGTAGCAGTGGTGGTATAGGCTTGAGTGTGAGTAGCTTGGGTGGGGGCTGAGTAGTATTGTTGTTCATTGAGGGCTTGTTGTTGTTGTTGGCTGGTCAAGTAGCTGGCATATTGTTCGGCGGTGAAGTATTGATTGGCCTGTTGGGGCTGAGCCACGGTGGCAGGGGTGGCTTGTACAGAGGCGGCTGTAGGTTGGCTGGAGTAGAGTTGTTTCAAAAGTTGTTGTTGCTGTTGTTGGGCATACAATTGCTGTTGTTGCTGCTGTTGTTGTTGTTGCTGGGCATAGTAGGCTCTCAATTGTTCAGCATATTGCTGTTGAGCAGCTTGAGCTTGTACTTGAGGTTGTTGTTGCTGTTGTTGTTGACGTTGATATTGTTGCAAAGTTTGGGCATAGGGAGTAGCGGCAGCTGGTTGATAAGCAGCTACTTGGGGAGCAGCAGCAGCGGCAGGATTATATTGGGCCTGTTGCAAAGGTTGGGCATATTGAGCTCCAGCAAATGGTTGTTGCTGTTGTGGCTGATATTGTTGGTATTGTGGAACAGCGGAGGCATACTGCAAGTAAGGAAATAATTTAATTAAAAAAATTGGTTTCACTTTGTTTTTATTTAACAAAAAAAGAGCATTAAACATGTTGAAAATTGCATTTTTTTTAAAGTTGCTGCTCACCACCGCATGACAACACTTGTGCGCGGTTTTATCTGTTATCGTTGGCATATTTAATGTTTTCATATTGTTCATAGCGTTGATTTATAGCTTTTTCACGTTTAATTTTTATTATTATCGAGAATTTGTTCTTATTTTAATTAAAATTTATATATTTTTTTATTTAAATTCCTTGGAAAAATAAAAACATAATTTAAAAGTGATTATGATTTCTAGGAATAAATAATTTCAATTAATAAATTCTTTTTTTTTATTTATTTTAAAGGTGGTTAAAGCTGGTTGATCTTTATTATAGTAAAGTTTAAAGTTTAAGGAACATTATCTCTCATTTTCATGAAAATTAGATGGCGAAATTCATGCAAATTTCACCCATTTTTCGCCGCTTCTGCTTTTGTAGTAAGTTATAATAAAACAATTTGTTAAATTTTAATTATAACTTGAAAAATGAAATAATTAAAGATAACTTTACCATAAAACATGCTAAATGCTTGTTGTCAACATGCAAATTAATAATAAAAGTTATTAAAATTTAAACTTTAATTAATGCACTTCAAATTTACCCTACTTTTTAAGTCTATGGCAATATTTGGTATTTTAAACTTTTTTGTCTTTAAATTAACACAAATGGCTTTTAAACTGCAGATTCATTTAAATAATTAATTGCAATAATTAAAACTTTGTCCTAACACAACAAGCATTAAAGAAGTTTTTAGGAGGTTTTCTTTGATTAAAACTTTAATTAAAGTTGAGTAATTGATTTAATTAAGAGTTTTGCCACTAATTGTATGCAATAGGTTTTGTTACAGATTTGTTATTAAGAAACTATATATAAATTATATCGCTTTTACTTTGTAAAGAGTACCATATACCTTTTAGATTACTTATAAGTGGTTTAGTATTGTTTAGCTTTTACTGGTGTGTTAGATAAATGACTGAGCAGTGACGCAAGTTTTGTTCAGGATTCAGTGCTTCATAATATTATAGAGCATTATTATTGTCTAGTGCTTTCGGAATTAGTTCAGTTTTTTAACTGTCTAAACAATGCATAGCAATGTTATAGTATTTCAAGAGTAGTCCAGAAAAAACTTCAACCAAAACATTGCTGACAATGGACTTAGGGGAATTGTTAACATGATTTCTTAAAAATTTTCATTAAATTTGTTCCGATATGACAAAAAATTTTACATTTTATACTATAAACTTGTTTGTCTGAGATTTTCGCGCATATCTCCGTTATTTAAAAACCGATTTTGCTGATTTTAAATAGGAAACTTCTCGAAAGCATGTCAGATAGAATTATTGAAGACTGAGATCCCAAAGATATATGAGGTCTTCAGAAAATTGATTTCAACATACACACAGAGATAGACAGACAGACAGACAGACAGACAGACAGACAAACAGACAAACAGACAAACAGACAGACAGACAGACATACGGACAGACAGACAGACAGACAGACAGACAGACGGACTGACAAACACGGCTTAATCGACATCGCTATCTATAAGGATCCAGAATATACATATACACTTTATAGGGTCAGAAAATTATATAGTAGAAATTACAAGCGGAACTTATATATACTCTTCTTACGAAGGTAAAGGGTACAAAAAGTACCCTATCGTTTTATGAAAAACTATATAATTCTCATTTAGTTAAGAATATGTATGACATAAGTTGTAAATGGAACAAAATCAAAGAATAACTGAATTTCATTCTTGGCAAACTATAGTTTTTTCGATATTTGTGACGCATCAGGTTTACATCAAGAAGTACTTAGGATAAAATTAAAGATAGAGTTCGAGTTTTACTGACCTATAATGGGTTTTACTGATCGTGAATTTTTATCACAAAATTAAGCCAAACATTAAATATTTTCTATTTCAATTAAAACTACCAACAATTGAAAATTGCAGCTTTTAAACATACGCTTTTTTACAACTGTTTATAAAACAAATTTCAATGCATTTGATATAAATCAGTTTAAAATTTCAAACAAAACTATCAGCATATCACAATAAAATGCACAACTGCATGCGAAACTTAATTCATAAAATCGAAAAAATTTTAATTCATAAACGTAAAAGAAGAAAAAATTATAAAATATAAATAAATTAATAAAAATTGTTGAACAAATATATTTCGCCGCAGTGTTAGTAGAGAAAACCACTAAATGTGTAAAGCTGCTATCAAGCAATGCAAAAACAAAACGTGCAATAAAATAAAATTCTAATAAAAATAAAATTTAAAAAATTTTTTTGTAAATTTACATGTCACAAAATGTTGCTACGCCTATTTAAACTGCACCCTTTAATAGGGTCATCAGCTATAATATTGCTGGCAGTAATAGTGACCCAAAATGTTAATGCTGAACCTGAGGTGAGTATAAAGTGGAATATTGCTAAAGATTTTATTAAACTTTTTTTTAAATAAATTTTTCTTGATAAAAGGAAACCAATATTTTTGAAAATATTGCCACCAAGGGTTTGGAATTGGCGAGCAATGTGGCTGAAATGGCGGGTAATGCTGGTATGATAAATGATCAACAAGGTTTTGAATTACCCTTTGCCAAAGTAAATTCCTCAACTAAAATTGGAACGGGAGCAGCTTTTAGAGAGGAACAAGATTCCTCAGAAGAGGATAGGCGGCGTAGAAAAAGAAGTTTGGTTAATTTGGAGCAAAAACATAATGGACTATTGGACAACGAAGCTTTATTGGATGAGAAATATTTGAATAGAGATAAACGTTCGCCTTGTCGTGGTGGTGGCGGAGGAGGAGGAAGTGGATATGGGGGAGGTGGTTATGGAGGAGGTGGTTATGGTGGAGGTGGATATGGAGGTGGAGGAGGTGGTGATGTTGCTGCTGGAGGTGGTGGAGGTAGTGGTGGTAGTGCCGGAGGAGGCCTTGGAGGTGGCGGTCTTGGAGGAGGAGGTCTAGGAGGTCTTGGTGGAGGAGGTGCAGGAGATGCTGGTGGAATAGATTTTGGAGGCATTGGTTTAGATGGTGATATACTGGACATACCGGAACTTCGTCGACGTGCTAATGCCCGCCGACGCAAGAGTAATACCAGAAGAAATTCCAACACAGGACGAAGAACTAGCCGCAGAAGTAACGGTCGACGTAGAAACACCTACTTGGTAAAGGACGAAGCTAATGAAATTTTGACACGTAGTAAACGTCAAGCACAATATGATGACCCTAACCAAAATATGGGCAATGGCAAAAAGGATTTCAAACAACGTGCTAAAGAAATTGGCGAAAAAATACGCAATGTTGCTCAGAATGTTAAGCATTCGGTAAGAAATGTAACACAGACTATTAAAGAACAAATATTTGGTGGAAATTCAAATAACAGGAATCCCAATAACATGAATCCCAATAATATGAATCCGAATAGTTTGAATGCAAACAAAATGAATCCCGATGATATGAATCCGAATAATATGAATTCAGATAATATGAATACCAATTCTATGAATCCAAATAATCCGAATAATATGAATGGAAACAATATGAATCCAGATAGTATAAGTCCCGATAATATGAATTCCAATAATATGAATGCAGATACGATGAATCTAGATAATATGAACCACGACTTCACACGACGCAAGCGTCAAACCCAATTCGATGATCAGAGCATGGGTAGTGGCAGCATGGATTTTAAACAAGGTATTAAAGACAGAATACAAAATGTTGCTGGGAAAGTTAAGGAAACTGTAGGAAAGGTAACACAGAGAATTAAAGATAAACTTGGTAGTCGCAATTCGAATCTTATGAATACGAATGATCAAGCCTTGGAACGAAGCAAGCGACAAGCCCAAAATGATTTCATGCAAAAAGCTACAGAAATTGGTGATAAACTCCGTAATGTTGCTGAGAGTGTTAAAAATTCGGTAATGAATGTTACACATACTATTAAAGATCAAATTCTTGGAGGGAATTCAAATATGCCTCCAAATAACATGAATCAGGCTTTCAAACGACGCAAGCGACAAACCCAATTCGATGATCAGAACATGGGTAGTGGCAACATGGATTTTAAACAAGGTATTAAAGACAGAATACAAAATGCTGCTGGAAAAGTTAAGGAAACTATAGGAAAGGTAACACAAAGAATTAAAGATAAACTTGGTAATCGCAATTCGAATCTTTTGAATACTAATGATCAAATATTGGCAAGACGCAAGCGACAAGCACAAAATGATTTTATGCAAAAGGCTACAGAAATTGGCGACAAATTCCGTAATGTTGCTGAGAGTGTTAAAAATTCGGTAATGAATGTTACACATACTATTAAAGATCAAATTCTTGGAGGGAATTCAAATATGCCTCCAAATAACATGAATCAGGCTTTCAAACGACGCAAGCGTCAAACACAATTCGGTGATCAAACCATGGGTAGTGGTAGCATGGATTTTAAACAAGGTATTAAGGAAAAAATACAAAATGTTGCTGGAAAAGTTAGGGAAACTGTAGGAAAGGTGAGACAGAAAATTAAAGAAAGACTTGGTGGTGGCAATTCAAATCTTATGAATACTGATGATCAAGCATTAGCAAGACGCAAGCGACAAGCACAAAATGATTTCATGCAAAAAGCTACAGAAATTGGCGACAAATTTCGCAATGTTGCTGAGAGTGTTAAAAATTCCGTAATGAATGTTACACATACTATTAAAGATCAAATTCTTGGTGGAAATTCAAATAACATGCCTCCAAATAACATGAATCAGGCTTTCAAACGACGCAAGCGTCAAACACAATTCGATGATCAGAGCATGGGTACTGGTAGCATGGATTTTAAACAAGGTATTAAGGAAAAAATACAAAATGTTGCTGGAAAAGTTAAGGAAACTGTGGGAAAGGTGAGACAAAAAATTAAGGATAGACTTGGGGGTGGCAATTCGAATCTTATGAGTACGAATGATCAAACACTGACAAGACGCAAGCGACAAGCTCAAAATGATTTTATGCAAAAAGCTACAGAAATTGGCGACAAATTTCGCAATGTTGCTGAGAGTGTTAAAAATTCCGTAATGAATGTTACACATACTATTAAAGATCAAATTCTTGGTGGAAATTCAAATAACATGCCTCCAAATAACATGAATCAGGCTTTCAAACGACGCAAGCGTCAAACACAATTCGATGATCAAAATATAGGTAGTGGCAACATGGATTTTAAACAAGGTATTAAGGAAAAAATACAAAATGTTGCTGGAAAAGTTAAGGAAACTGTAGGAAAGGTGAAACAGAAAATTAAAGAAAGACTTGGTGGTGGCAATTCGAATCTTATGAATACGAATGATCAAGCATTGGCAAGACGCAAGCGACAAGCACAAAATGATTTCATGCAAAAAGCTACAGAAATTGGCGACAAATTCCGCAATGTTGCTGAGAGTGTTAAAAATTCGATAATAAATGTTACACATACTATTAAAGATCAAATTCTTGGTGGAAATTCAAATAACATGCCTCCAAATAACATGAATCAGGCCTTCAAACGACGCAAGCGACAAACCCAATACGATGATCAAAACATGGGTAGTGGCAACATGGATTTTAAACAAGGTATTAAAGACAGAATACAAAATGTTGCTGGAAAAGTTAAGGAAACTGTGGGAAAGGTGAGACAAAAAATTAAAGATAGACTTGGTGGTGGCAATTCGAATCTTATGAGTACGAATGATCAAGCCTTGGAACGAAGCAAGCGACAAGCTCAAAATGATTTTATGCAAAAAGCTACAGAAATTGGCGACAAATTCCGCAATGTTGCTGAGAGTGTTAAAAATTCCGTAATGAATGTAACACATACTATTAAAGATCAAATTCTTGGTGGAAATTCAAATAACATGCCTCCAAATAACATGAATCAGGCTTTCAAACGACGCAAGCGACAAACCCAATTCGATGATCAGAGCATGGGTAGTGGCAACATGGATTTTAAACAAGGTATTAAAGACAGAATACAAAATGTTGCTGGGAAAGTTAAGGAAACTGTAGGAAAGGTGAGACAAAAAATTAAAGATAGACTTGGTGGTGGCAATTCGAATTTTATGAATACGAATGATCAAGCATTGGCAAGACTCAAGCGACAAGCCCAAAATGATTTCATGCAAAAAGCTACAGAGATTGGCGACAAATTCCGCAATGTTGCTGAGAGTGTTAAAAATTCCGTAATGAATGCAACACATACTATTAAAGATCAAATTCTTGGTGGAAATTCCAATAATATGCCTCCTAATAACATGAATCAGGCTTTCAAGCGACGTAAGCGTCAAACCCAATTTGATGATCAGAGCATGGGTAGTGGCAGCATGGATTTTAAACAAGGTATTAAAGACAAAATACAAAATGTTGCTGGGAAAGTTAAGGAAACTGTGGGAAAGGTGAGACAAAAAATGAAAGATAGACTTGGTGGTGGCAATTCGAATCTTATGAGTACGAATGATCAAGCCTTGGAACGAAGCAAGCGACAAGCTCAAAATGATTTTATGCAAAAAGCTACAGAAATTGGTGACAAATTCCGCAATGTTGCTGAGAGTCTTAAAAATTCGGTAATAAATGTTACACATACTATTAAAGATCAAATTCTTGGTGGAAATCCAAATACAATGTCTCCAAATAACATGAATCTAGCTTTCAAACGACGCAAGCGTCAGGCACAAAATGCCAATATTGATGAAAAAGTTAAGCAAACTGTTGGAAAAGCCACCCAAAATATTAAAGATGAACTTGGTGCTCGGAATTCGAATCTAATGAAGACAAATGATCAAGATTTAATGCGACGCAAGCGACAATCTGAATTGGATGATTTAAATCACAACATTGGCAATCTTTTCGCTCAACACTCTCAAGATTTCGGTGAGAAATTACGCAATGTTGCTGAAAGTCTTAAGCACTCGGTATTAAATGTGACAATGACTATTAAGGATCAAATTATGGGTTAAAATACGAATGACAAGGCATATAATTTAGGCGGTAAAAAGAGTATAAGTTGTAATTTCTTAAAGATTTAGATGTATTTTATATAAATAGGTATATGGTAACTGTTTTATCAGTATGTTATTTTATGTTTAATAAAATTTTAAGAATTATGGGAATTTTTAAATGTAATTTTCAAAAACCTGTAAAATGAAAAGAGTGTTTTATTATTTCGAATAAAGAATTAAGAAAATTTTAAAAGACATGAAATTTGGCAATTAGGTAAGGAATTAGGTTTTAATGAATTTCCTTGACTTTAGAGGCTTTAATATCTTTTAGTTTGGTAATAAAAAGATCAACTTAGATTTACTGGGACAGAGCTGTTTAAAAATGGTGAAATTTGGCAACACTGTGAACTAAGTAAACAATAGGCGGTATTTACTCAGAAATTTGGCGTTCATAGTTTTAAGAATGCTTCAAAATTTTAACATTTTATTTCGTTCAAAAACCTTAACCCTTTTATTCAAAATCATTGGTAAATAAAATGAAATAATCTGAACCAACGGAAATGTATGTATAAAAATTTTACAGCTAAACAAATGTAAATAAAACAACAACTTTGTATAACAAGCAAAAAAAATTGTATTGAAACAGATACAAAGATACACAAATTGTGATAACAGTAATAAGCATTTCCGTTCTGGATACAATGGCCGTAATCATTGTCATCCTCTTGCAAACAGATTGTTGTAATTTGAAACTGTTTTTAATACCTGCAGTTCATGGAATCTGGTTCTCAGAGGTAAATTTATTAGTTAACAGAAATTTGTATGAAATTAACTTAATTATCTGCTTTGGCATTACTCTTCACTAGTTATTTCATTAGTTCTATGCTAAACAATACTAAATGTTAGCTAAATGATCACTGATGTGGCAATTTATGGGGAAATAAGTATAACTACCTACATGCTGCATTACCAAGGATGAGAGAAGTAACTAGAAGTAACAAAAGTAACTGAAGGAAACTTGAAAACAATTTGGAATACAATGAATGAAAAATTGTTCTACAACCTCTTTAAAAACTGCTGGTTTTTCCAGCTAACTGTAATTATATTTGTAATAACATTTGTAAAAACTGTAAATGCTAAAATAATTCAAAACATTTTACAACAGTTAACAATTAAAACCTGACATTAAACTCAAAAAACGGCTATTTATCTATTATATAGCCAAGAAAACATAAAAAGACCCAAAAACAAAATCCTCTAATCGAGTCTTCTATAAAACATCATTGCTATCATTAAATGAAATTAGAAAGGAGAAAAAATAGCAAATAATTGCTGTAAAATACAAATAAAAGTTTAAATCAAAAAGGAATAAAAAAAGAAGAAAAGTTATTTATACCTTTATTAAATTAAACAAATAAATTAATTACGCTGTAGAAAAGAAAACAAAACAAAAAGTTATAAAAATCAAGGAATTTTAAATGGCAATTAAATGAAAATGTTTCATAAATTTATTAATCCAGGTGAAATGAAACGTTCTCTATGGAATGGCAAGAAAGTGTGCAGAAGAGGTGAAGGTTTCTGGAATGTTAAAGGAAAGTATCTTTTAACAATACTTTTACTAATGACGGTTGTATTACAATGTCTTGTTAATAATGTGGAGGCGAAATTGTTAGTTCAACGTTCGAAGGTAAATATTTTTGAAGGTATTGCCACTGTTTCCTTTAGCAAATAGAATTGTAAAGTTAGATATTTGAAATTAATGGAAAAATTGGTTTGGAAACTTTTATATGTGAGCAAGACCAAAACCGTTTTGGTCTTAGAAGAGAAAAAACTAACTAGTTACCTTACTAGTTCTTGGGGATCAGTTTTAGTTCTAACATTTTACTAGAAAGACAATTGTCTCTTTAAAGGGATCGATTATGAATTTTAAGCTAAAGGATCTTATTTCTCGATTGTTTAAAGGTTCCTTAATTGAGGCTTTATTTTCAATTCCAAATATCTACATTGAAATTATTCCATTCATAATATATACGACAAATATCATACATTGCACGAATAATCGTTTTTTTCGCACTACGAAATTGTTTCGTAATATATACGAAATTGCACAAAAGTTTCGTAAATATTACGAAAAAAGTTGTTAAAAATTCTTTGTAAAGTTGAGCATGTTTTAAAATTATACACGCCTGGTACGAAATTGACACCAAAGAGTTCATAAATTTTCAATAACATATAAATCAACAAAAATTTAATAATTTGTTATCAAAACAACAAACAGAACGTTGCGTTATCGACATGACAACGATTCGTTGTCGAAACATCAACGATGCATTGCCGAAGTGATACAAAGCGTAATTGAAATGACAACAATGCGTTGTTGTAATGACAACAATGCGTTGCCAAAATTACAACGGTGGTTGTCAAAATAATTACTGTGTGTTATTTAAATTTAAACACATCCGTTGTCTAAATGTTAAAAAACGTGGTAAGATCATTATTGATAACGGATTGTACTTTTCTACCGGTTTTATCCTCTGCATAGGCCCTCTCTTCTTTATCGTGTCAAGAATAACATAGCGGTATCCAAATATCTTTATTATATTTTTACTCTTCAAGTTCCCATTTCTCTGTATTTTATGGTACCATTCCATTCCCGCAAGTTTCCTCATAGATACATATATATCAAAATTCTAGTTTAACCAAATTTTAACCATGATTCCTTAATGCTTTCCTCCTTGTTGGAAATGGTGTATTAATTAATATTATTATCAATTTCTAACCCTTCTTTTTTATACTTTCTATATTATATATATTAATTTTTCTCTTTTCTTTCATTTATCAACATTAATTTCAACCATTGAAACGTGTAATAACAAAATAAATAATATCCTCCCCCCCAACAACATCCAAGAAAACTCTAAAACTTTTACAAAGTTCTTCATCTTTGATACAATTACGTCATAAACGTGATACTTTTGCTAATGAACACCACGAGCAGCGGCAGCAACAACCAGGAGAAGACTTTGTAAGTCCCCACAAAAACTACTATGAAAATATCGCTGCTGAAGATGAAGCAAATGATGATTATTATTATGATGATGATAATTATGATGTTCTACCTATAGGAAATGGTAACTCCCAATCTCCTTCTTTAGGAGATCAAATTTCCGAAACAGCCAAACAAATAGCAGAAAGTTTTAAAAATATGTGGCAATCATTAACTGATTCGATACGACATTGTATGGAGAAATTGCGTGCCTCATTTACTGAAACTATTGTCGATGATTTGACACCCGAAGAACTACAACAATTACATGTTGCTATGTCAGAGCAATATCATGCTAAACATATAGATGATAATGAAGTTTATGAAAATAAATTGTAATGTATTTTTGATTGTTTATTAAAGTGATAATTAAACAAATTTTAGAGATATGTTAAAATAATTGGGAAAATGTTGTAAGATTTTGTGGTTATAATGATTAATGTAAGTAGGATTGATATCAAATGTCAGGTGTAATTATTTTTGGAAATATGTAAAAGATAACCTTTAAACAAATTGAATCACTTGGAGGAAACATGGAAGCTAGTTTTACATTTAGCTAAGGCTTAGTTGATTAGTATTTTTAACTTAAAATAATCAAATAATCCTTCTCTGAGCATACTGAAACTTTTCATATCTAAACTATGAAGACATGACTTTATACTTCAAGCAGTTTTTGAATTCTTGATTCAAGTACGTATTTGTTAAGCGAGAAATCCCTAATTTAAGTCTTTTTTGGGCCAAAAATTATAAAATTATCTCAAAAATTGCGACCTGTAGCGTTTGCAAAAGGTTCACATGGACACACAGACAGACGGATGGATGGACAAACAGACGGATATAGATAAAATCGACTCAAAAACTGATACTGAGGCGACTAATATTCTTTAAGGTGGGTGTAGGACCGATAAATCCCAAAATCAGCTTGATTTGAGCTCGATTCGTACTTAAATTTAGAAAATAGAATTTAGAACTCAACTTAAACAAAAGTATGTGCTAAATTTCATCAAATTATCTTGAAAATTGCGACCTGTAGCGTTCACAAAAGGTTCACATGGACACACAGACAGACGGATGGACGGACGGACGAACGAACATAGATAAAATCGACTAAAAAAGTGATACTGAGGCGATTGGTATATATTTATGGTGGATGTAGGACCAATACTGTTGGGTGTCATAAACATCAGCACAAACGCATAATATCCTCCCCCACTAAAGTGGTATAGGAGGGTTTATATTTCAGCATGCAAATGAAAGTATTTTTGAATTAAGTAAAAAATGAGATTAAATTAAGTTAAAAATGAGATCGAAAAACGATTCAAGTATAACTCGCTTTATAATAGATTTTCATATTCAGTTAAAGAAACTTTTACTTTCGATTTGTTTAATCAATCCCCATGTGTAATTATTTCAAGAATAAGTAATTGTTTTAAGTAATAAAATCGTTTTAAATTTTTTTTTTTAATTTCTAAAATTGAGAATAATGAAATATGTATCGTACAATGAACGAAATGTTACGTAGTTTCGTTAAATGTTACATATTCTTAACGAAATTATTTTTATAAAATAAAACAATTTTTTTTAAATATACGAAAAAAAATGTTACAAAAGGTTTTCGTACTTTCGTAGTATTAGAAAAGGGTTTGATTAAATATTATTTCGTTTTATACACGAAATTTTCGTAAATATTACGAAAAATGCAGTAAAGTTAATCATGGATTATTATCAGTATGTTAATTAGTTTTATAAACTACCTTTTAACTTCTTTGATTTGTGTGGCGAAATAATTATATATATATATATATATATATATATATACCAATTAAAATGTTCTTGAACCTTAAAGGATCTAAATTCCATTAACATGGATTCTAGTTAGTCTTGATCTTAATGTTTAGAAATATTATTAGAACGGCAAATGATCTTGCTTTGATCTATTTAACCTAAATATGGTTTTCAATAGTTTGGAATATAACAATTAGAATTTCTCTTCATATTGAATTATAGAAAAAATTTAATTCCATATGAATTTTAACAGGTTAAGTGTGAAATGAAATGAAAGTGGTGAAATGAAACACTGAGTTGTGGGTAAGAAAGAACTAATTATTTTGCTCTACAAATTGCATGCACCATTATTAATTTTTTTTAACTATAATTAAGTTATCAGCCAAAAGATACAGTATTTTATATAATTATAAAAACGCCCACTTGAAAGCTAATACATAATTAAATAAAACTGTATATTATTTGAAAAATTTTAAAATTTTAAATGTATTAATTTGATAGTTTAGTAATAAAGCATTCAATAAACAAACTAAAATAAATAACAATAATATAAAGCGCCTTAAAGTATACCACAAATTATTAAAGCTTGCAAATAGAAAAAGTATGCAATACAATTTTTTTGTAAATGGATGATCATAAGCTAAAGAGTTTCAATGCAAAAAAAAAAATATATATATATAATAAAACTTCCAAATGTTTAACTGTGAATAGCCTTAAATTAAACAGGAAATACAATTTAATCAAACTATTACATGCAATATGAAAAATGAATGATTAAAATCTTTAAATGTATTATTTAAAAATTAAAATAAATTAATATGATTTATATAAAAAAATAGAAAACAAAACAAGTATTATTAATACGCAAACAAAATAAACAACGACATGCAGTTAAATTTTATATAAAATTCTTTAAATTAAATAAAAACTAGTTAAAAACCCAAGCAAAAGGCCACCGTATAAAGGCAAACAAAAATTTGAAATAACGATTTTCGTTAAAAATAATAAAATGCTGAAATTAATAAATTTATTAGTTTTGTTAAGCATTTTTTTAATACTAAATGAAAAAGTGCTAGGCAAGCCACAGGTTAGTGTTAAAAAAAAAAAAAATAAATAAAAATTAAATCTATAAAAAGAAAATTTCCTAAGGATTTACAAACTGCTGCTCTTATGGCTGCTGGTCAGATCAAGGACACCATAGACAATGGCGCCGCCGCCAAGGATAATAAAGAATTTGAATTATTTGGTGCTAAGGTTAAAACTGGCATGGAAATAGGTTTTGGTGATGCTATGAAATCAAAACGCAGTACTGACGATTCATCATCCTCTTCCGAGTCGGATGAAAGACGCAAAAGATCAGTGGAGCAGGATATTAATGGTATTGAGGAGGAGCACGAGGAAGAGGAAGAGAATTTGTATGATGAAGATTATTCTTATTCTGATTATTCTTCATCGTCTTCGTCTTCCTCTGAATCCCAAGAAACAAAAGTTTTAACAAAGCGATCTTTGAATTTGAATAATTTGTCAAAATTTAAAAATTCTGATAGTTTTGAACAATTTAACAATGATTTAATGAATATGTATTTGCAAAAGCAATGATTTATTGTTTAATATTTATGGAATTTATTTAGAAATAAAACGGTTTATTTGAATTGAAAAGAAAAAAATTTTCACATTTAGTTATATAAAAAGCATATTGATCCTAATAAAATGCATCATTACTTGAAGAGATGATTTGAAAAGCCGACTTGATTTCTCAAATTTGTTTGGTATAAACTTAAATCACCTTCACCTCTAATAGCTTGATTCAAGTACGGATCCGTTATGTAAAAAAACCAAATTTAAACCTTTTTTGCAGAATAAGTAATTTTTGCACTCGTGAATATAATTTTATTTATTTCTCTCGTTATACAACTCATTTTCACGAGAATTATTTTTAAACTCACGAGAAGTATTTTTATTTCAACTCTTAATATTTTATGTTCACTTCATGAGCGATATCTATGTATTTTGATTTTTTAATTTCTCTCGTAAGAGATTTAAAAATGAATAGAATTTGAGTAAAACTCACATACAAAGAATGTGTGCGGCAAAACCGGTTTTGTTTCTTTTATTGAATACATATATGTACAATATTATAAAAGTCCCGAAGAATTCATTTGTACTCTTTTCTTGAAAGAAATGTATTTTCCGCTTTATCATTTAAACTCAGGAGAAAAAAATATATATTCACAATAAAGCGAGAGTGAAATCAATTTGAACGCTCTTCCTACTCTACTTTTTTGTGTCAAAGAAGGGTTGGAAAAATTGGTACAATTGTACTTTTTTTTTGATACAATTCGACCCATTTTGTACAATTTAAAAATTGTATTTTCAACACAAATTTCAAAGACTTGGGTCAAAGTTTTACTAAACGTCGAAAGGATATTGAAAAGAATCCTGGAAGAGATTATAACCACAGAACATTTAACAGAGAGAGTTCTTTTTAGGATTATTTTTTTTATCGGATCGCTTATCTTTTGTATGAATTAGTATTTGGACTAGAATATGGACTGTTCTATAGACTAGACACTAATCTAATGTTTAATCTACAGACTAGTTTATAGATTACTCTATCCTCTAGTTCATAGAGAGACTGTCTATTAACTAGACTAAGAACCAGTCTATTGACTAAATGGTCTTATTTATTGACTTGTCTAATGACTAATCTAAAGTTTTAAAGTACTTTTAACTAGACGTTTATTGTCTAGACTAGTCTATAGTATCCCATCTATTCAATAGAATAGCCTATTGCCTAGCCAATGCACTAGTACATTGACTAATGAACTTGCTTATTGATACATGCAAATATTTATTAGTTTAGTAATTGAAGAAGTCGGCGTGAAAAGCTTTTGTTTTATATTAATATAAATTTGCAAAAATATAGATTTGGTACAATCGGATTGAAAAAAAGTACACTTTCAAATGCTGTTTTGTATAAATTGAAAATTCCATTTGCCATCCCTGGGTCAAAGTGATCTGACAACGTATTTGTTTAAGAATTTTCAGTTTGATTTAACCTCAAATGCATACTTGATCTGAGATAAAACTAATATTGATTAAGAAATGTCAAAGATTGAATTGATTCCTATTTATTGCATAAATAATCTTAACTAAATGAGAATTATGTGTATAATGCGAATGAATGTTTTCTTGAATTCAGTAAGAAATAGGATTGAAATAAGTAAAAAATCATATTAAAATAAGATTCTATATCAGTTGAAGAATTTTTGCTATCGATTTGCTTAATCGAGCTTGATGTTTAATTACACTGAATATCAACCATGTTTAACTTTACGAAAAAAAAATCGTAACTACTTTTTTCGTTATATTTACGAAAATTTCGTGTTTATTACGAAATATTATTTAATCAAACCGTTTTCTAATTTTCAGAAAATAAATTTCATAATATTTATATTAAATTTATATTTCGAAATTTATGTAATTTAATATCTCTAAAATTATTTTACTTGTTACGAAAATATTTCGGACAATTTCGTATATATAATGAAACAATTTCATGGTGCGTAACAACGGAGCATTCGTACAACGTACGACATTTTTCGTATTTATTAGGCATGTATTATTTTCAGTGTATTTTAAGAATGAGTAGTTGTTTTAAGTAATAAATCTTTCTTAAATTTTGAAGTGCGTAAAGTTGAGAAAACTAAAGTTAAATTTAGTTAACGACTTTAATTTCATTCTTTACACGACTTTATATTATTACATCAAGTTTAAACTTGGTTTAATTTGCAGCAAATCTACAACAAATTTCAAATAATGTTCCCATTTTTTGAGAATTGTCTTTTAAAAAATTTTGTATTTTTGAGAGATTGTAATTTTAGTATAAATTTGACAATATCCTTTAACCGCTGGAATCACTCAAAAAAAAAAAATACAAAAATTTAAAAGGTCTCACTAAAAACTGAACGGAAATGTGTTTCCTTATTGCTTCTAACAAACAAACAACAACTATTTGCAACAACATTTCACGGACACATTCGTTAAAGTCCTTTTTTCATACGAATTTTCTACAAAATGCTCTTTTTTTGGTGTAAACAACTTGTTGAAATGTCGAATTTGTTTTTTTCACTTTTTTGTCAACAACTTACCTGGACAGGTTGGGCTGCTTGCTGGGGCTGTTGCTGTTGTGGGGCACTACCACCGTAGAAACGTGTAAAACTCTGTTGTAAACCGGGAGTTTTTAACGAGAACGAATTTGTATTGGCATCAGTGTGATATGTCAACTGAGCTGTGCATGAATTAATAAGACAGACAAGGGCCAACAAGCCAAAGGTGGATTTTTTAGCTACACTCGCGAACATATTGTTTTAGATGTGTGTTGTGTGTTTCTTTTAATCCTTTAAAGAAAATAAATTTATTTAATTTTTGTATTTTGTTAATTTTGCTTAAATATTTTGTGTGTTTTTACTCACAGTTGTTTAAGGTTTAAATTGATTTTGGCAACTGTTATGATTTTATATTGTGTTTAATGTTTTTATTGTTTTAACCAACTTGCTATTAACACTCAACTGAAAACAATTTAAATTTAAATTATTTAACAAAATACGTCACATTAGTTATTTTTTATGTTGTTTTTTTCTTCTCCATATGCGTGTTAGTGGAAATCCAAAAACAAAAAACCTAGAGTCCAAAAAAGTGATAGTTGGTTAGTATGCCAGGGCAGTCAAACCCTGCACTATTAACCACTCACACACACACACACACTTAAAACACAATTAATTATTCCACTCATAATTTTTGCAGAAGACGTTGAAAAATACCAAACATTTGTCTTTTTTTTTTGAATCACATACAAAATTTATTTTGAAATGTTTGTCATATGTATAATTTTACTTCAATTGTCGATAAAGTTATTTATGTTTTAAATTTTACACTAGCTTTTTTATTAATTAAATATTAAATTTAAGTAATTATTAAGATTTTTTTTAATATTTCATTTAAATATGTTTACTTTCTTTCTCAGTATTATACGTGAAAATATTAAAATATATTTTAACTTTTTTTTAATATTAAAATTTTATTTAAGTTAATTTCTCCATTGCATAGAAATTTCATAAAAATTTTAATTAATTAAAAATGTCTGCACAGTGTGTTTATATTTAACAAATTTTCAAAATAAAACGTCTCAGGAAATTTCCCATATGTCTCGAGAGCTTCAGGGGCATGTAGTTTACTTGGTTGATCTTTAGTTACAATTACAAGTACTTGTAACTGTTTATTGCTCAATTATACATTACAAGTACTTGTAATTGGTTACTGCTCAATTACAAGTAATTGTAATTGACCATGGAATGAATTAATCAATTAACCTTAAAGTCCGATTCCTGGGGTATAAATGTGCTACTATTAGTTTGGATCAACCAGAACCTTCAACTGGAGGAGTAATTGTTGATCCCTCGACAGTTGTATATCTTCAATTACAAGTACTTCTAATTCTTTATTGCTGAATTACACATTACAAGTAATTGGAATTGACCATGAAATGAATTACTTTATATCATCATTAACCTCCAAGCCTGATTTCTGGGGTACAAATGTACTACTATTACTTTGGATCAACCAGAAACTTTAACTGGAGGAGTAATTGTTGATCCCTCGACAATTGTATAATCTCTCCGGAACGATGAACTATACTCCTTCAAAGGTTATCAACCGATAAAACTAACGATGATAACTGTAGGAGCCATTGACTTCTAATCTGAGCAACTTCACATCTGGTGCCATGGGAATCAGTCGACCTTAGACCTGTTCAGATTATTGGTGTGGTCCCTTCGGAGAGCAATTGGTTAAAATCAAAATAAGATTTATTCGAGTAAAAGACATCAAGGAATATACGGTTCGAGACGATGAAATAATAACTAATGCCGCCTCAATTGTGCTACAACTATTCTTTACAAGTACTTGTAATTGTTTATTGCTCAATTACACATTACAAGTAATTATAATTGACTATGAAATGAATTACTTTGTATTATCATTAACCTCCAAGCCAAGATTCCCGGGGTATAAATGTGCTACTATTACTTTGAATCAACCAGAACCTGCAACTAGAGTAGTAATTGTTGTTCCCTCGACTTATATATTCACTCCGGAACGACAAATTATACTCTTTCAAAGCTGTTGTCAACTTGTCGATCAACCGATAGATCCAAAAATGACAACTAAAGGAGCCATTGACTTCTAATCTGAGCAACTTACCATCTGGTGCCATGGGAATTAGTCGACCTTAGACCTGTTTCTGTTCAGGTAATTAGTGTGATCCCTTCGGGAAACAATTGGTTGAAACCCAAACAGTAGTTATTCGCGTAATAGATAGCAAGGACTATACACGGTTCAAGACAATGAAATCTATTGGATATACACAATAAATCATTCAATGTAGGGTTCTATTGTCACTCCTATTTGACCGTTAGCACTTTTAAACTTTAAAACACCTCAAGAAGATGTCGAAATAATAACTGCCCCGGTAGGCTATTTGGTAGCGTGCTAGCCTAATAGTCTGGTAGTTGTGGGTTCGATTCCCATCAGAGACTTTGATCTGCTATAATACAACGGGTAAATAAGCTTAGAATATAATTTGTAATTGTAT